TTCAACATCTCTTTGGCGGACTTCACGAACACAACTGCATCTGGATCTGGAGGTTGATCGTAGAAACCAAGACGCTCATTGAACAAGCCCGCGGCGATCGCCTCAATAATCCAGTACGTAAACTGCTCTTCAATGTTATTTATCGTCCCGTCACGCCGCGATTGTTGCTGCATTCTCCTCACAAAGTCATCCGCTACAGTATTTAATATAGGCAATGTTTCAAGGGCATCCTTTAGACGTTTCAGCTTCGGCGCCAGCAGCGATCTGTCATGATACCATTTTTCATAGTCGTTCGAGATCGGACCAAAACCTGTGTCGGGATTAATTTCGTCCCCTGCGTCTTCCACGGCTTGCAAGCCCGGACGCATTTGAAAAGTTCTATCAGTGCGCAAAACCTTGCTCGTGGCTTCTACGTCAGAAACGTTCACAATTCGCGTCCCGAGTATTTCCTCACTGTAAATTGGACCATATCTTTCGAAGCGTTTCGTAACGACGTCAAAAAACGAGCCTTTCGTATACTCCAAAATATTTCGAATGCTACCTTTTAGGCCTGGAATTGCTGAGAATGGGAGCACATTGGTGTCGTTTGGCGCCACGACAGTAGACGAACTACGTGCCAACATTGCCAGTGACCAAGACGATCTGAGGAATCGTTGAAGAAAAAGAGAACGTGTGAAGGAACAACACAGCAACGCCATTGTTAATCTGTGTGAACCGTTTTTCGACGATTTTGCTAAGAGACATTAAAGTTGAATGCAATATTTGTTATGCAATGACGTGTTTTATCCGATTACTCAATTTGTTTCCCATTTGTGCGGGCTCCTTTTGTCAGTGGACTTCCACGGTAAAATTGAAAATACAGTGTCATGTTTCTTCGCTTTGCATGCAAATTCTATACTCGATAGGCATAACGCTTAATTAATTAAAATTAAATAAATAAATGCGAATAGTATGTTTATTCATATGGTTTGCTTTGTCGGAAATATTGGCTCTTCAAGCTTACCTTTTGATCTATTCGCTAACCGATGTAAATCCAGTGTAAACTTAAACTTGATATTCATATGATTTCTTTTATTTACGCGACAACATTATATTTGCAGTGTATCGATAATTTATAAATTGCGGGTCGTTATGCGATGTATAATAGCCACCAAGCATTTTGGTTCCCAACAGATTATAACATCTTTTCCCACCTTATTATACACAAAATTTATGATAAATGACACATGATGGCAGAGAATTTTGTCCAATTCTGTATAAACTGTAGCCTGCTCGCAGACTATATGATGTCATTGTATAGTCTGCGCGCAGGCTATATAAACTGCTAAATTTTACAAATAGAGCAGTTCAAAATGTAAACAAAGCGTTTGTTTACATTGCGGAGTCAGCAGTCATAGCTGCCAAGGTCTAGCTGCGTAACATACTTCAGGCTACCAAGGTCAAGGTCTGGCTGTCATAGTGAGACTCTGCACTCAAAGGCGGGGGAGGGGATCCAGGGACACCTCCTTAGTAATGCATTTATGAAAGATTTTTAATTTTTTTACTACAATCAATTAATTGTGCATTTTTTAATAGATTGTATGTTTAGCAGGCACAAGATTTATACAAATAAAACATAGCTTGATATAGCTACATAACGACATCATTCCATGATCCAGAGTCCAGACTAGGTTTCAGAAAACATATTTGCTTGTTTATAACTAAGCTGTCTAGTAGTTTGCTTTGAAATTTTTCGTTTACCCAGGTAGAATTATGTATAACCAGCTCATTAAAATATGTCAGTTATAGAACTAATAGAAGATATTTATAATAGCAAAGCTGAAAGGAGACATAGTGACGGACTCGGTGACGTGATATATACAGACTAATTAATATCATATTTTCACAATCACAATAATTTATTCACAATATCAAAAAAATTTACATGTGAAAAGGAGATAAAGAGGCTATCCCTATATAAATTATCGTTTCAAACATTTCAGCCCACTCAACAAATGGCCACCATTTTGAAACTGAACGATACCATTGACGATACGTGGGTCAGCCGTGAAGCGGAAGGTAATATGTCGCGTTTGTGACACCACCGAAAAATACAGCTGAAAGGCCCCCATGTTATAGTTCTGGCGCTGCCAGCCGGAGTAAAGATTTAATAAAAGTCAATCACAAAATGCAATTATGCGAATACGCACGTATACCTTCGGCTTCGTGCCTGGCACAGATTGGCTCAAGTTGGAGTGTAATTAGCTGTCCCTTTAAAACTGTGGCAATCGATACACCCATGTATCGACACACACATGTGCACAAAGGAGCCCTCTTTTTATTTACAAACAGTTTATTTAGGTTTTTATTTCATTTTATGTTCTTGCAAAGCTTGATAGTTGTCTGTTGATAATTTATTATACTCTAGAATCATGAAAATATCAATAGTTGTCGAATAAAATTCATTATTTTGATACCGAAATGTAAACAAAGTCTTTGTTTACATACGGACTGTACCGCATCTTTAAATCCCTCTTTTTCTGTTTTTTTTCGTCGAGAAATGGAGTTTGCGTTAGCTCCGGCGCAGGTTCAGGGTGCAACGTGCTCCAGTGACATATTCAGTTCAGTTCCGCCCGATGAGGGTCGTTTAGTAAAATTCCCTTGGGCGCCGTCCGATGAGGGTCATTTAGTAAAATTCCCGAGCACCGAAGGGAATTTAAAGCAACTTCTTAAACAGTTTATTTATGCATAAATTTTGCTTATGTCAAGCTTTTATACACTTGTGGGTTCAGCAGAATGCTGAGATATTCAAATTCTAACAATACGTTATTTCAATAGTTTTGGGGTTTTTGGCACACCCTGTATAATAACCTTACGAATTCTGCGATTTCATTGGTCGAGAGCCATGATCTATCAGAGGACAGAAGCACGGAATACGTGTTACAGTAATTTTTAAAATGTCGAAAATATTTGAAAATTCCACTGAATTTATACAAATAATAATTAATAATAATAATAATGATTTAATAGCATTTCCACATAGTGGCTCTTCTATATGCTACAAGTGAGTTTGATTATAAGATAACAAAGTATACAATATATACAACGGAGTACATAATAAATAAAAAAAAATATAAATAAAAATAAATAAAATGAATAAATTGAATGAATAAATATATTATATTAATTATTATATTAATTATTTATATTGTGTATAAATTGAATGAATTCATGCAATTAAATCTATAAACGTCAATAAATACCTTCGATAAATGTGCAAAAATCACTGACACAAGCTAGCAACTGGGCAAATCTCTATTCATTCAGATGCGATATATATATATATATATATATATATATATATATATATATATATATATATATATATATATATATATATATATATATATATATATATATTATATATATATATATATATATATATATATATATATATATATTATATATATTATTTATATTATATGTTTCGGCGTCCTACGTCTCATCAGTGCAGCTTGGTACACATCTAGACACGCGATGACTTTCGTATTGATATACATGACACTTGCTCTCCCAAGCGCATGTGGTACAACACGGGCCATCAACGCATCCAGACTGATGCGCAGAGTGACATGGGGCCAGAGTGCTCAAACAACCACGAAGGAAGTGAGCTTTG